TCTGTGTGTGTGTATGTACATATATTTCCAGATGTCAAGATTGGCCAAAACCGGACAGAAGAGAAAGTGCACAGTCGAAGAGTGATGCAACGGCGGATCACTTTCTACTACTGGGGACCAAAGAAGAGAAGACGACTGAGATGGACCGGAACAGGGGTGAGATAGTAGAGAAGCAGCGAGAACATATAGACAGGCTAACAGACGAGGTACATAAGCAGAAACAATTGGCGAGACAGATGTCAGACGAACTAGGCCGTATTAAGTCACTGCTCGTAGAAATGACAGAAACTGCAGAACACAGGATGTTCACTGTGTTCTGGTTGTTGCTAGACGATCCAAACTGTTTAGACATAACTCATCTGAGGGAGGACATGACTGTCAGACTGAAGGCAATAGCTGAAACGAAGACCACCATGTTTGACGAGTTCCAGACATGGTTAGATGGTGAAAGACGCAGGCCCACCGCGATCTTGAATCGGTTCGCCGCCCACGTCACAAAGAGAACTCACAGGGAATCATAAGGACTTGATGTCGCATCTTGTGGCAGCCCTGAGAAGTGTGTGCTGAAGGAGGGGTGGGTATCATATGATAGCCAAGAATATAATACGGGTTCGCTAACTGCTTCGTCACGCAGTGTCGTCGACCTCTTGGCCTTCGCAGCAGACTGTATTCGCCACTGTAAGAAAACCGTAGACGAGTACGCTCTCTGTGATGAGGGTGTCGCAATTGGTAAGGATGACCTTCCTTGTTATATGACGTCTCTGTTGAGCGGTTGCTCGGACGTCATTGATGCCCTGCAACACACACGAGGTAGGTTGTTAGATAGCGAAATGACGGTGACTTGTGCAAACGAAGTTGTCATGGGAAGTGCAGAAGGTGAAAGGACGAAGGCAGGTGAGGAAATCGACACAACAATGCAAACCTCCACAGGAATTGGGACCACTGTCGGGGACTGCACGCTTGCGCCGCATGCCGTGCTGGCGTGCACCGATGTTGCCACACTGAATTGTCACCACGTTCGTCACAACTTCCCATGTATCGTCGCTAGCAAAGCACCTTGTGCTGATGCAGAATCTGTTGCGCTACCTATGACGACGGACACATTTCAAAAGTTCGTTGCAAAAGCGAATTCGCGACAAATGGCGAGGCTGGTTGCGGACTGTGTGTTTCATCTCATATCGTACATCAAAGAGATAATGGTACAGGTCGTAACGAATGCAAGCCAGCATGGAGGGAATAACGAATGTGAGCATTACAGGAAAGGACTTCACATCAACAACCGCTTAAAAACTCTCTACACAAGATGTCAAATCATGACTGCGCGGGTGGTCAGGGACGCGTGATCTCTCTCTCTCTCTCTCTCTCTCTCTCTCTCTCTCTCTCTCTCTCTCTCTCTCTCTCTCTCTCTCTCT